AAGAGAGCATCAGAGCAGCACGAGAGCCAAACACATCACCAAACCTGCCATAAAGAGGTCCACCACATAGAAGGACAAAGGAGAACAGGGTGTTCAGGTAACCTAAGGTAACTACATCTGCACCAAGCCGTTTGGCCATATACTAACAAAATAAAAATGTTATTAGATAAGTACTGAAGGGATGTAGCTGTCGAGCCTGTAAATATTAATTACCCTGAAAATCTAGTATTCTGGCCTGGGGAGCAGGGATGGCGCAGTGGTGAGAGCACTCGCCTCCCACCACTGTGGGCCGGGTTCAATTCCCGGACCTGGCATCACATGTTGGTTGAGTTTGTTGTTGGTTCTCGTCCTTGCTCCAGGGTTTTTCTCCCTCCCCAAAAAACAACATTCTAAATTCCAATTCGATCTGGAAACAGTGGACAAGAAGAGCCACCCAGTGGATGTCCATTGCTAAATTATTTATTATTATTATTATTATTGTTATTTATTTATTATTAGATGGTTGATTGTGTGTGGTAAAATGTAAAATTGCAGAGTTTATTATGATGCCTTGAAGCTAAGTGGCTCCTACCAAACTCAAATAGGGTCAGATAAATTATGTCCAAAAATTTGAGCATTACAATTTTGAGTATCTATACTGAAAACATGGCATTATACCCAAAATTATTGTCAAAATTTATGGTTATGCTCAGTTGCATAATTAAGAATAATTATCGACTCTTTAAACACGATGGCGCGCTATATAAGGAAGTCTTCCCTGGGAAGACCTAGGCTCATTTGTCACTCACCGTTGACGTGTGCGGGTCAAATTTAAATGCTGATAGACGAAGAAAAGGAGCTAATGAGATATCTATTGTTTACTTCCACCAGCATGGTGGTATGAGGTAAAAAAAAAAAAAAAAAGTTGTCGAACTGTAATTTCGAGAGAATTTTAGTGATAATGCCGTCATTACGCATATAAGATACTCTAATTATAGCATTAAACGCAACGGTGGTGTATTATATATTTGACCCCTGGCCTTAACTAATTCTGCGCCCATTCACCGGTTTTTGTAACATTTAGCATCTTTGAAGTGGTGTACAAGAGAAGAAATCGGCTCTGAGGTTAATGAAGAACATAAGAATAAAGGGTAAAAGTTTCTAAAGCAACTGTGGTGCAGCGTCGGTGGGGGTGACAAGGTAATTTGGTTAATATCAACAAAGTTGAAATTATAAATTGGCCACCGTAATGAATTAAAAAGCTGACGTTTCGATCGCTAGTCCTTCGTCCGAGCGAATGGCTCCAACGAAGGGCTAACGCTCGAAACGTCAGCCTTTTAACTCGTTACGGTGGTCAATTTATAGCTTATGTAACATTTGCAAACGTTAACTAGGATACATACCGGGAAGACAGATTTACCCATGAAGAAACACGAAGAGAACAAGAAAGAATTTACTAGCGCCACCACTCTAATTAAACTTTTCTTCTCTGAAGAACTGTCTTTGTCTACAGAAGAAGGCGAATCGTTATCATTCTCTTTGAGACCCATGGTTGCAGAGAGCAAGTAAGAACCACTGACTGGACTCACTTTACAATCGATCATGCGTGACCCTTCCACTACGCAAAGCGGTGTTTACCCAAGTTCCGTTTCAAGGGTAATGGTCACGTAATGCTTTCAAAATGGCTGAAATACTGAAATCTAGAGGAATTCTGGGCAAAAAGTGGATGGGAATGAGGTGAGGAAACAAGCAGCGGAAGTTAACATTTACTTCAGGAACACAACCGACTCCCAGGTAATTCAATGGATAGAGCGCTGGACTGTTGTGCGGGAGCTCGAGGGTTCGAGCCCCGGCCGGACCAACACTCTAGATCTTAAAATAATTGAGAAGAATTTGTTACTTTTCTATTACATCAAGAAATGCTTAGATATTCAATTTTTCTTGGATAGGGACGAATAAATGGACTGTCCCGTCTCCTGCAGGGTTAGGGTTAGGACACGTTAATTTCCCGCGCACAAGATTACTGTGTGATGGATGTCCTCCCTAGGGTGGGATGGGTGGGTTTCTACATTTGCATTTGTGGTTAAATAAAATTACTTACTTACTTACAAACTTGACGGATGGTCGACGATTTATGGCGCTTGGTAAATAAAAACTTGCATACCGAGTATCGCCCATACTGAAGAGACTCCGCTTCTTACTCATGTAAGGGACTGCTAAAAAAGCACAGGCATGGGAAGAATGAAATGAGAAAGGGAAAAGTGGTGGATTGAACTTAGAGCAAATGACTCACTCCTCTTGCTTGTTTCACTCCTTCACAGCGGGCCCTAGTCTCCTCTCGCAGCCGTTCTTTGTCTCAGGGTTCCTGTGTCTCCCTCTCCACAAAGAATGGCTGCGAGACAAAGAATGGCTGCGAGACAAAGAATGGCTGCGAGACAAAGAATGGCTGCGAGACAAAGAATGGCTGCGAGACAAAGAATGGCTGCGAGACAAAGAATGGCTGCGAGACAAAGAATGGCTGCGAGACAAAGAATGGCTGCGAGACAAAGAATGGCTGCGAGACAAAGAATGGCTGCGAGACAAAGAATGGCTGCGAGACAAAGAATGGCTGCGAGACAAAGAATGGCTGCGAGACAAAGAATGGCTGCGAGAAGAGACTAAGGGGGCTCAGGCTCATCCGTACCCTGAGCTTGGGCTGCCTGTGAGCCATTCAGTCAGTATAAGAGGCACATTCGTAAAGGTTAGAACTTCTATCGCACCCATTTCACTAACTAGTGCCTAGAACAGGCAATCCTTTCCTTGGTAATAAGTTGTACACACCGAAACTGTAAGGCCCATGGTTTATGTTGTACCACAGGTACACTGCAAACAGAGTACGTCAGAGCTCAAAACGTGCAAAAATTTCTTTGACGGGAAATGATTTTTGCGGACTGATGGAAAATCTTCGATATTTGATATTAGATAACACGAAAGTTTTATGTCACTTTTCGTTTAAACGATGATCTTTAGAAAACATGCCTCACTGGGAACAAGATTAGTTATGAAGTAACAAGACGAGATCACAAAAGCATCACAATCAAATATATTGCATTTTCGCCAACAGAAAGTAATTTGCTTACCAACAATATCAACCAAAATCTCAAAAATTTTTACTGAATTGCTCAAAGTTCGAAGCAAACTAATTCTTTAAAGTCACAGTTTGAATAATCAGATGCACAAGAAACATAAGAAATCTAAAACCAAAAGTTTAACCCAAATGTTTTATAACTCTTGTTTTTGTTGTTCTTTTCCTCGTAAGCTTTCTGTGCGCTCAGCTCCTTGGTCACGTGGTTCTCCACTGTCCCCCACGTGGCCTGTGTCATCATCATTGGATGAAGTCTCGTCCTGATTTCCTTCATGCCCAGTCTTTTGCTCGCTTGAATAACCGTCATCCTCTTCGTCTTCATATTCAGGCTCGATCCCAGAAGTCAAATGGGCCAGAGCGTAACATGTATTCAAAAAGGTCTGACGAAAGACGAAAAACTTATCTAGCGTAAATAATCGAAAGTTTTCCAACGTAGTTAAGTTTTTGAGAGCCATTTTCTTCTGCTGAGAAGGAGATGTTTCTGTTGGGAAAAAATGGTTGAAAAATTTACCAAAAATGCAAAAAGAGGAGTGGTTCGAAGAGTTGAAAATTTCCTCAGCCTGGAGAGCAACTTACCCGGATGTAGAATCCAGTTCCTTATAGTCTCGTTGTTCCACTCGGTCGTGTTAGTGAAAATGTACATCCAACAGGAGGGCTGGTCGGAAACTGTGTACACCACGTGTGTGTCATTGGACGGAATGGATATCTCTTCGCCAACTTCAACTGTATGGTTTTTGTTGTTAAACTCCACCTTAACTTTACCTGGAAGGCAAGTGTAAATAGGTTTAGTCTCCGGCTGCGTGTGTTTCTGTGCACCTGCGTTCCTCTCTTCACCACTGCTGGGTGCTAAAATGTAAGAGTCCAGGTTTGTGCAAATGGGTCAACACTGAGACGTACTCGCATTATCTGTTTTTTTTTTTCAGCAGGAAGCAACTATGTCGAACACACTTCATAGCCACTTAATGGCTTAATTCACGCATATTTTCACATGTTTGACTACTGTGTAAAAATCAGAATACAGAAAAATATTACATGGAGAAAACGAGAACTCAAAAGAAGCACGGGAAAAACCCCAGTGGCCGACATGTGACTGGGTTCAGTTTTACATGTGATTGGTTAATAGGGTGGCGTGAGTTTCCTGAACAAATCGTAAGGTAGGGGGTGGGGGGGGGGAAGGTAAGAAGTTACGTGAAACAAATGCAGTCCGGATTACTCTGGAGACGTTTTGACCATTTACCGTGTAGCAGAGTCAAAGATGTATTCAGCTCCTCAGCCACAAAATTCTCCAATAGCAGCCCCGGAAAATCTGCCACGAAAGTAATTTCACTGAAATTGGACTTCTCTTTCAGCTCCTTCCTGATCTGAACCAGCTTTTCCCGCCATGGGGACAGTTCAGTCAGTAGTGGCTGTATCCAGGGCGTTTTTTTAAACGGTGACCACGGTGCCGTGACCATGTCCACGTTTGGATCCACCATACGCTGCTGGAAGCGTCTGTTCATTGAACGCCACACGTCCAGATAAATGGCAGGTTGGGTGATGTTCAGATCTGGGTGAGCCTTCAGTTTCTCAGCCATACATGTCATGTACTGTTTAATCATATCTGGGTGTGAGTTCCAACGTGACTGGCGCTGCTCCCTTAACCATGCCTAAATACAAAATAATAATGACGATAACGTAAACGATCACGGTCAGTCACGATCACGATCACACCCACATTCACGCTTACCGTCACGCTTACCATCACAGACACACGATAACAATCAGAGTCATGATCACGATCACAGTCACCGTCGGTGTCACGATCACAGTCACCGTCGGTGTCACGATCACAGTCACCGTCGGTGTCACGATCACGATAACGATAGCAATCATGATCACTGTCATGGTCACGATCACGATCACAGCCACGGTCATGTTAACACCCACGGTCATGTTCACGATCACGGCCATAATCTCGATCACGGTTGCCATCATGATAGCGTGGTTAAACTTTGGTTATCTTAAATTCTTACCGAGGGCCTTATATAGGTGACCTCTCCAGACACCTGGTCCACTACTTTGACCCTGACATGTTGAGTACTCCAAGAATGCACCATCATGTCCCATGAGTATCCATAGAGTCCTTGAGTCCAAGCATTGTAACCCTAACATCAAATGATTAAAAAGAAAGTGAGCAAAAGTCTTGGAAAAAATGGCCCAGAAGGTATTAATGATTTAGTCTTTTCACTCCCCAAAACTTAAACAAATTTAAAGTTAAATCAAGCAATATCAACTTATCTCTCTTCTATATATCTATTAGAAAATGTACGGATATTGTGAACAGAAATTCCTTGTTGGTCACATCCAGGAGTAAAACGGTGGGAAAGTCTTGCATCATACAACAATACTGAGGTGTATGTTAGCCATACCTTGCTAACAAAGTGTGAATAAGGAAGGAAGAGCTGGATTCCAATATAAGCTAGTGTGATGAACACAAAGGCCTTCTGTTTAACTGTTGGCATTCTGCTTTTCTTTGAAATTTTCTGTTCTTTGCTCTGTTCTTTACCATTTGTTGTACCCTGGACTGACTCCTGATATACACAATGTGCACTACCTTGAGGTTCTTCTCTTGAAGGTAAAATCGTGTTCATGAAGGTGGGCAGGCATGAAAAGAACTTTTTAGGCCAGTCGTAAGCACAAAACAACAATAAAGTGGCCAGCATTGTGTATGAAAACATACCAATGTGAAACATCTGAGAGTTCATCCCATGAAACATGGCACCGAAGAAGATTCCGATGGGGCGAGTCTTGTTGAAAATGAGAAGAAAGCCTTCAAACAGGTCAAAGAACAGCCCTCCAAGATGGACAAGGTACAGGTCAATAGATTCATCATCAAGGAAAGAACGGAATGGATCAAACACCCATTGGCGTGATAGACCTGTCATAGAGTACCCAGTCATCCAATCCATGTCAATTTTCTTTAAACCAGCATAAAAATACACAAGAAAAACCTACCAAGCGGAAAAATATATGTTTACTATCCTCAAATCTAATGACTCTTAGTGAAATCTATTTGACTTAGCTGATTAAGAAAACACAATATTTTTTGGTTATTGTTACAGCCTCTAATACAGTTTGTGAAGATTTAGGAGTGTCTCTCACTTAAACTCCCAGATATGATTGCCAGTGAATGACTTGGATTTGAATGATACATCATACATGAAAATAAATAGTGATAATCCTTTGAACAAGGACTATCAAAAAGATCAGTTCACCTGAAAACGCAGCAAAACATAGTTCCACTTGGGCACATGGGAATTCTTTATCTTGGGATTTAAAATCCCATCCACAGACCTGAAAAAGTGAGTAACAGGAATTAATGTATTTTCAAAATAATAACCATAATAAAGCAGAACCACAAAGTCAAATAACACTGAGATAAAATTTTCAAGTAACTTCAAATCATGTTTCTTTCCCAAAATCAAAGTTAGTTGTAATTTTTAACAAGTTATTGTACACCAAGTGATCAACTATGGTATAAAATGGCATTTTTTTATCATCTTTTATGATACCTCGATTCAGTGGAACCTGTATTTTGTATTCCATGAGGCATGCTGGCAGATAAAACAATTGTTGATTTTAGCAGTTCTAAGAGGATTGAGGCTTACCAGTAACAGTCGGCATCGCTCAGAAGAAGCATCACTGAAAATAATCCATACAGATAAGAATGATTATTCCAGCGCGATTTCTCCAGTAGGAACATGTACCAGTAGGTAACCATGAAGGACAAGCAGCTTAAACGAAACATAAATCCCAGGAAAATTCCACAAGCTCCAAGGAACATGATAAGGTACACAACATGCATCCAGTCAACAGGTAGAGGTTTGATGAAGTTGAACAGTGGAAAGTGGCAAGTGTCTCCTCCAAAATGGGCGTCGATATACAACATGCCACGCTCTTGAGGAATGTCAGTCATCATGAGTAATCCTTAAGAACAAGATCTCATTAGTAATTCTTCTTTCCATCTGCCATACAGTTCTTATAATATGACTTCTGAGAATTTGACATTAGATCACCTGATAATCTAACCATAGATATTTTTTGTTATTCTCATTACTTGTCCACTTCAGCGATAGTCCATTGTTATTGTAACAAGAGTTTTGTCTTGGTCATTCATGGGAGCTATTAGAGTGAAGACTGGGACTAGTTGAGGCAAGAGATTGGTACTCATAGACCCCCTTTAACCTTGAGAGTGATAACCATCTCATTTCTCATAACAGTAGCACCCCTGACTTGATTATTATACAAATTCTCATTCTCATTTTCAGCACTTAGGGAAATTTGTAAGAACAGCATGAAGAATATGCATAATGATGTTAAGGATTTAAGGGTTGACTGGCTGAGAGCATGGTTATGTCAAATATTATTAGAATAAAAAATTCAAATAAAAATAATCTATTAAGCCCCCCTCTAATAGGTCACCCCTCTTTGGAGGAAGAAATTTATCAAGCCTGCCCTCCTCTACTAAGGCCCCCCACCCCTCCCCCTCAAAAATAAAAAATTCAAAATAACACCCCAGTTCAGAATGATAAACTTATTCAAATACTATAATTTTAGTTTGTCATTTAAAATTGATTATGGTGATTGATTGATTGATGTTATAATGTTGGCATCAATAGAATAAGGTACATGGAAATTACAGAGCAATGCTAAAAATATAACATGGTTAAACAAGGTCTTTTGAGAGAGTTAGATCATAAAATTGAGTCCTTAATGACTCTGCCAATTTGGTAAATGAAAAAATGCAAAATAATGACAATTTTTAAATAAATACAGTACATCATATCCTATTGTATCCTGGTAGTGAACATCAGGCTAAATTAATAAGCCCCTAAGGAGCAGTGAAAATTAATCATACCAAATGCAATTCTCAACACAGCAAGATTTGATGGGTCAGCTGGTGACAGCATAAACATCAAGAACTTATTCCACAAGCTGGATTCCTGCTGCACAGTTGAAAAAGGTTTCTTTTCCTCTTCCACTGCTTCTGCTTTGCCCATTCTGGAAAATTATGATTTATTAATATAATTTATATCTATCCAGGCACATTATTTTTAATTCATATCAGCCTGTCTTCATTAAGATATCATGCATGCAGGAAGTTTGAAGAGCATGAAAGATGCTTTAAGCAGTTCTCATAACTGTCTTCCATACACTTCTTGTGATGTAATTCTGGAGAGTTTGGTTGTGGATCAACTAATTATCCCCTATTTGATAATTTTCTTCGTTCTCATTATTTATTTGCTAAATAAATGCTATTATATTGATAATGTAGGGAGAAATTTCCTTCTTTTGGCCACTATGGGAGTTTAAAGTTCACTCAATAATTTGGAATTCTTTACAATGTCTGGAAGATGATCATAGGTATACAGCCTACAAAATTTACTTTTTGGGTCACAATCTGATACCATCAATTCACAATGAAATTAAGCCATATTCACCTGCAATTGAAAATCAATGTTTCTTTTCTCCTTTTTATTTAATTCAAGTATTTCTCAGAAAAAAAAAACTTCGACCCGTGTGTTTTTCGTCTCTTCTCAAAGACAAAGAACATTCTATTTCAAAGTGCTGTTTAAATTTTAATAGAACAATGAATGAAATCACTCTGTGAAATTAAAGATTTTAAAAATTAATCGCATGTTGCTTGAATGAATGACCTGCTCGTGTACGTAACAGCTTCATTAAAAGTAATGCAACAATTGGATAAAAAAGATTACCTTTTGGTGTATGTGTAGAGATTTCGTAAGCAAAAGGTGTTTTGGTAGTCATGAAATTGTGACGCAACGATCCTTTTAATTTTTCCAACTGAAGCAAGTACCGGAATCAAAGACTTACGTTCGGAATAATTATTCGTAGTTGAGAATATTTTTAAGTCGATACCCAGTCAACAAGTCTGGCGCATTAATGAATAAAAGATTATCGCCAAAAAATAGTCTTAAATCGACATACCTTGTTCTCAGGGATATTGCGCCGGGTGGATGTCTGATTCAAAAATGCTCTATCTTTCGGCTGAATCCACTCTCATTCAATAACAACAGCAGGACTGTGACATTCAGCTGTCTGGTTTCCTTTCGTGAAACACCCTCCTCCTTTTGTTAAAACATCTGTTTTGGTGACCTGACATTCTCAATAGGTTGCAAGGGCGCCATTTTTAACTGAATCTAAATAGTTTCCAGTTTTCTCTCGACCTCGACTGACATTTACGTGGCTTTTTCGTCTTGGGAAATTTTAAAGATTCTTTACTGCCCTTCAAGTATTAATTGCAATAACTTTAGCGCGTTTATTTGCCTTAATTGACCCAGTGAAGCAGAATTTTCTCTCCTCTTAGTTTTACGAGGTATCTTTGAGTTATGCGTACACAATAGCCAAACTTGTAGAAAGAAAAAATAATACATGGCGGCTGTGTTACAGCACTGGCAAACTCACACAAACGACTATCAGTGCGCGTGGTTTAAAGGCTGTATATTCCAGCAGATATGGCGGGAAAGATGCCATAGCCTTGCTTTAGGTGAGTATTACGATTTTTCTTCCTCATTGAGAAAGATTAGGGGATGGGAAAAGTTTCTCGTCATGAACTTGTTACATGTATAATTTCAGCTGTGTTGTGAAACATACCACATGTGTTTACCGTGAAATCTGCAACCGTGGCTTTGATCGAATGTATCTCTAGAAAAATACGTCCTCAGCTAATTGAGATTTGAAAACGGGGTATATTTATTGAAGAGAAATGCAAGATGAAGTGAATCTTAAGTTTCTGTTGTTCCAAGGATTTGTGATGATTTTTAGGTAATGTTGAGATTGTGGTTTTCTTTCCCACATGAGTGAGGTTTCACGTTATCATTATGGTTGGAAATATACTTCATTGAAAAAAATGTACTGTTGTGGTTTAATTTATCCTTCGTCTAAATGTTCTTTTCCTCAACTTAAGTGAATATAGTAATATTTGAGTTTGGAAGGAAGGAACGAAGGAATTAAACCAAAGTTTACCTCTATATTTGTTCCTCTCTATGGCATAATTGTTGTAAACAGTGTCCAATAACCTTGCAATTTAAAACTTGTTTCCAGGGATAGGAAAAAGGACGTCATATCGCTGTCAGCATATCACTTACCTAACAAGAATGCTTCTGGACTGTTTACTGAGCCATAGATTTGATGAAGCCCTGGAGTGTCTGGTTGGACTATGTGGAGTTTGTAGAAGAATACCTGAGCTGTTTTGGCGAGTAAGTTGAGACATATCATGTACATTAGGTTGACATTTTAACTCTCAAGATATGATTGTCAATTCTCCCCTCTTGCTGCTACACATTTCCTGGTAAACTACTTACAAGAATTTGTTGTTATATGAAGAGGACAACTTCAACCTGATAAGTTTGAGTATTCTCATTACCTGCTTGCCGGATAATGTGTAGATTTTATAGGAAGAAGTTACATGTTAATCATAACTGGGACTGAAAAGGTTAAGTCTGTACTCAAGCCAAGTGGCACATTGAGTCAGAGCTTATCCCAGTTTCCATAGCTTGAAGTGACTAGGATACTTAAGACTCACCCCAGGAATCACCCCAGGATGGGACACCAGTACATGGCAAGGCTACCCCTCGGCATTTCATCAAGCTTCCCTGACAGATCACTGTTATCCATGTTTATTCCAGGGTGGAGACAAGTGTTGTGAGACTTGAGTGTTTTCAAGAAGTTTCAAACATGTTTTTAGTCTTTTTCCTAGCTTGAACATGTAGTGAAGTATGTCTATTATTTATTTATTTATTTATTTATTGTTTTGCTTTCAAGACAGGCTCAGAAGTACTGAAAAACTGCCCAGGGAGCTACATGCATATGATTCAATTATTGAAAAATATGTTTGTAATTTGTGTGCCCTTCAAAACTGAACTTCTGCTGGATTTTACCATGTACTTGGTGAAACACAACAATGATATCACAGAGGCACAGGAACTTTTAACATCAAAACTTTCTCAAAAGCCATTTGTGTCCAGCCCTATTCTTCAAGCTTATGCGGGACTCTTTGCATATCTTGAATGGAAGAAATGCAAACACCAGTTTGACAAAAGGTATTTAGAAGCTGATGATGATAGTGATCTGGACTTTACAGGAGGTGAGAGGACTGATGGAGATCTGAAACGTCAAATGGATTTTCATGGAAAGAAAGCTCTGGTTTTTTTCGTTAACTTAGTAGAACATTGTGGTGTGTGGGACATCTTTATTACAAGACAAGTAGAGATGTTACAATATTATAACATGACTGAGGAGGCGAAAAGGATCCTAGTGAGATATAAAGAGAAAAATCCTGAAAACCTTAATTCACATCGGTAAGACATTAAATAAATCAAATGTAACTCTTTAACTCCCAAGATCTGATTTTTAACTCTCCCCTCTAGCTGCAACACATTTCCTTGTATATTGAATTCAAGAATTTGGTGTTCAATCAAGGGAACAACTTCTACCTGATAAGTTTGAGTATTCTCATTACCTGTTTGCTTGTTAATGTATGGATATCATAGGGAGAAGTTACCAGTTGATCGCTTCCGGGAGCTAAAGAGTTAAGTGAAACAAAATATTTTCTCATTGATATTATTACTCTTATATTTCTGCTTGATGTGGTACTCCTAGAATTTAAAGAGTTTTTGTGAAGCAAAAAGTCTCCTATTATATTTACATGAAATGGTTTTTACTGATATTTTGAAAGCTTTCAAATGTCAACCTGAACTCCCAACCAAGGCACCTTGGCTATTTTTACCAGCTGAGATAATGTTCTGTACTTACTTTGGCGTGTGACTCCACTTTTGATTTCTGCTCACGTTGTGGAATTGTCAGTCACCATTACTGACAACAGTCCTTTTCAATGACTACACTAATCCAGACAATCAGGCTACATGGTCCAATGAGACCCCATGGGTTTAAACCATGCACTACTATAACAACTCTTGCTAATATCATTTAGATGTCTTATCACAAGAGTCCATGTTGATGTTATAATTTTGGCTCTTTTGTTTTTCACTTTTAACAGGTACTTATATTATTTTCTCAAGAGTGAATGTGCCAGTAAGGAAGAGTTGTGTTCAGTTCTTGAAGATTTGCTGAATGTAGATCCAACAAGTGAACTGAGTGAGGAATATGTCAAGCTTGCTGAACACAAAAAAGGTAAAAGTTTTTAATGTGTGTAGTTCTGCTTTTACTTTCTGGAAAAACAAAAATTTAAAGAGGCAAATGTAACAATTTTTCACAGCACAGGCTTCTTAACCCTTTGACCTTAAGAGTGACCAGCATCTAATTTCTCCTTACAATATCACCCCTGAATCACACATTACGGTCAGGAGAATAAAGGAAATGATCACCAACTAGAGAGGCTCTTGATTGTTAAACAAATTCTCCTTNTTCAGTCCAGTATTGGTTTTTTCACTGTTGTTAAACTTTAGGAGGTAAACTCTCACTCGTGAGATTTCAAAGGGCCACTCATGTGAAATTCTTTCCTTTGGTTATACTAATCTATTTTCAAACAACAGTTTGCTTGAATTTGACCTTTGTGCTCTGTTTGTTACAGATCAGTTAAAGGGAATCATTGATATTTTGGGAGCGCTTTTCGTCAAGCTCGACCATGCAGCATGTCGATATTGTGTGACAACCTGGAAGGAACTTGCTGCTGTTCTTACTCAGTTCTGTGCAGCTCATGACACAAGGGAATTAAAGATATTTTGGGATGAGCGAGTTGATTGGTGGCCACAGTTTCACTTCCGTCTCAGTCTCGTTCCCAACAAGGACCATGTGTCAAAACTGGAATGGCAACTGACTCGACATAAGGCAGAGGCTGCTAAGTGGCTCCTTGGACAAGGTGTGTGTTTTGTAGGCATACCTACAAACGTTTCATTGTGCATTTCATAATCACTCCCGTTTAGCGTTTGGGGGGAATTCAACAGAAGCAGTGATACAAAATGTGCGAGTTATAGATAAGTCATTGTTATGCATGGCGTTGTTAAGCTTCCAACGTGTGGCTTCTCAGGTCGTTGTACGGTGTAGCACTCAACTAGTGTTTGGAGAGGCATGAACTAGAATCCAGATTTATTTTCTACAACTTCTTTAATTTTAGGTTGCCTGCGAGGATAATTTCTTCAATTATTTGCAATACGCATCTCTAAACATGATGTAACAAATGTAAAGGTTATGAAATATTTCATTTAGTTGTGGTAAAAGAAGGACTTGGTACACAGAAATGAAGCTATGAATCCCTGAAAGTAAACTTTAACATTCTGGCTAACAAATAAACCATTACTTTGGATAATGTGGGATCAAGCGAAAGTTGAAAATAGGCACCAAATACAAAACACAAACAAATTGTTACTGTTATTATCATTTTTTATAGTGGAAACATGAGGCAGCAACAAGCAACGGGGCCGTTATTAGTATGCAATAAATCATTAAGTATGTTAGGGCAAGTTAGAAACTTTTTTTTACTTCCCCGGACTTTGTCGTTCTGTGTAGAAATCTTGCACTTATTGTTTGTCGTTTATTTGTTTCAAGTCTTGTGACGAGTTTCTCCTTCTTCGCCTTTTTTCCTCCATTTCTCCTTCGTCTCTTCCTTATTCTTCTTCTTGATGATGATGATGATGATAATGAACACGATGATGAAGAAGAATCATTCCCATCATTTCCATTGTCACTATCTTTTACTTCTCCTTCTCTTTTTTCACCGCTGTTAAAGAAAGCACTAAAGGGTCATTCATGATCAAGTGCCTTTTCGTACTGATCCTCCCACACAAAGGATGCTAAAATACTTTGGAGCTTTTTGTACAATGGTACGTCTGTATCTTCGGGAAAAAGATTGAAAGATTTCACTGATTCCACTTCCCAATCCACTGTAGACTTACTCACGATAAAGAAGTCGACTTTTTTCTTGTATTCCCTTCTCGGCGCTACTACGTATTGCGATGATGAAATACCAGTATTACTCCTTTTACTAAAAAATCATATCTTCATCGCGCGCAGTGAAGATACTATTTTTATCTTTCACTTGTGAGGATATTGGTGTCGCCATAGTTACTAACATGCTGTTAGAGAATTTTTCTCTTCTTCATCAGAATTTTGACTTTTTGGAGCAGAAAATATAAGCATTGTTGTCTTTATTTCTCCTTTATAAGTTTATATCCGAGTTTCATAACATTTTTGTGACAGGCATTTTGCGGTAGGTGACCACTTAAATTCCACTATTTTGCTGTTTCGAAAGTGAATTAAAAAAAATTTGTGTTTTATGTGGAAATTTCATCAGTATCTATAATATAAACAGAACATTACATGGCCACGCGGGGATACAAATTTTATTCACGAGTGAGCGAAGCTCACTCGTGAGAGATACTTACAGTACTCGATGTTAAAATTCATATCCTCTATTTATTACATTTTTCAAAGTCGAAAACGGTCAAATAGGGATCGACAAGCAAGGCCTCTGCGATTTTGGGTTTGACCCTGACAGAATACTAATTGATTACTGTCAAATGGCCAAGTTTCTTTTCGCTCCATTTGACGTCAAGCTCGTTGTTGGGAATTGCCTCCAAGATCAGTTGAAATACCAACACACTCGCAAGAAATCCTGATTTCTTCTCCTTTATTAATCACCAATAACCTACAACAACCTCTTATCGCTCTCCTTTTCTTTCCTTTTTCTGTCAATCATTGGTTTTTTGGGTTGCAATTAAAGGGATCCAAAGTTCAAGACTATCAGATTTCAAAGCATTGTCTGTCACGATCAAACAAACCCGAAATTACCCTAACTACAACAGTGCGACAAATAATAACAATACTCCGCACAATTTCCGACTGCTCCTTTTTATTGAAAGTGAACCAGATACGTTGAAATTCTGAACGTGAGCTGTAATTCTGTAATTTGGTGTCGTGCGAAGAGTGTTCTTAACTTTTAAGTATGTTTTGAACCAATAAAACAAATAATTGCTATGGTTGTGAAGGTGTAGTCTGATCGTCCGGTTGAGTGTAGTCCTGAGAAGGACTGTTGTCGGTAGTAGTGACTGACGTTTCGACAACCTGTGTGGAAGTCATCATCAGAGTCAAGTGAATGATTGTTGTCAGTAGAATGTTCTTATTACAGTTCGTGTGAAATGATCGGTTGGTTCTGCCGTGATGTTATTGGCTGTAAGACTCAAGTGACGTAAGTCGGTCGTGATTGGTCTGTTTCGATCTGTCGGTAAAGTTAGGTCGTTCTTTTTCGGTCGTTTGTGATGTTTATGTCGTGAATGAGTCGTTTGTATGGAGCGGGTAGTTGTTGACATCTGTTTAGGGGAGTCTGTTCTAAGTTAGTAAACCAGCTTTCCAGAGTCAGTCGTTGAAAATAGTCAGTGCTGTAGGTTAGGCATTGCGCAGAGTCCCAGTCAATGTTGTGGTTGGTAAGTCGATGGTGTTCAGCAATGTGATTGCTGACATCACCTTTCCTCGTCGCCCGTCTGTGTTCAGTCAGTCTTGTTGTGAGGTTTCTGCCAGTCTCACCGATGTAGGAGGCTTGGCAGTCACAATAACATCACGGCAAAACCAACCGATCATTTCACACGAACTGGAATAAGAACATTCTACTGACAACAATCATTCACTTGACTCTGATGATGACTTCCGCACAGGTTGTCGAAACGTCAGTCACTACCACCGACAACAGTCCTTCTCAGGACTACACTCACCCGGACGATCAGACTACACCTTCACATGTTACCCCCGGGTTCAAACCATTTACTGCATTAATAATTTTTTGTTCAGATTTTAATTAGCTAACCGGAAACACAGCTAAGCTTTCTCTTAGCGCTTGCTGGAGGTCGTCTACGAACTTAACGTTCTCTGCAACCTTGGCCCTATTGTGAACGATTTTACTACAAAGCGAAGATTAGATTTTGGCGCGCACAGANATACTGATGTTAGGGTGAAAAGGTCCTTAGGTAATGTATAGAGAACAGTATGGAGAATATGTATACTGATGTTAGGGTGAAAAGGTCCTTAGGTAATGTATAGAGAACAGTATGGAGAATATGCATACTGATGTTAGGGTGAAAAGGTCCTTAGGTAATGTATAGAGAACAGTATGGAGAATATGCATACTGATGTTAGGGTGAAAAGGTCCTTAAGTAATGTATAGAGAACAGTATGGAGAATATGCATACTGATGTTAGGGTGAAAAGGTCCTTAGGTAATGTATAGAGAACAGTATGGAGAATATGCATACTGATGTTAGGGTGAAAAGGTCCTTAGGTAATGTATAGAGAACAGTATGGAGAATATGCATACTGATGTTAGGGTGTGTAGGGTTAATTTTTAGTATCGCAGTGACATCAGTATGCATATTAACCATGCTGTTCTTTGAGCATTTCCAAAGGTGCTGACAAGGAGAATTTCAGTAAATTTTGCAAAGGCAACAAAATTGCAGGAGCCCCCAGGGCAAGTGCAATTTGTAGTATTTGAAAAATTTACATGTGCTTATTTACACCAAATTACACGAGAAATCGTTAATAATCTGCATGAAAAAAACATCACAGAAAGTCAGGACAGACAAAATTTTGACATTGCGCGCACTATTTGTAATTTGCACTTGTGTTAGAACTTGGCATTCGTTTCATAGGAAAAAAATGTACCAGTATTCAGCCAATCAGATGCGCATAACTTTGATATGTGTATTATTACAAGGTTTACTGCTGCTCTTGTATGCCTCATTTTACATCCGGTTTCTCTCTCTTTTTGAGACTTAAACGCTCGTAAAAGCTTGAGGGAAAAGTTTTGAGTCGAGTTTGGATGCCAGTTGATAATTTAACTGTAGATTTTGGACTCTGAATAACTCTTTAAAAAAAAATTAATAAATATATTTTTTGGTTTTAGGAAACCCTTTCACCCAAGCTGTAAGAAATCAAGAACCACAGTACAGTGAAATAGAGTCGTCTTTATCTCTCAGTGGCACAGGATCATCAAGGATTACAAAAACAGTTAATGGCGAGGGGTGTTCGCCCCGGAAAAGGAAACGTAATGACGATTCTTCCTATAAATACAAAAGAAGAATCCTTTGTGGATGACTAAAGAGTCAGCTTTTTTATTGTATGATATTTTCATTATTTTATTTTAATGGCGAAGAGTAATCAATTAAAACGATTTGTAATGGGTAAATAAACAGGCTACCCGTACTTGAAAAAGTTTTGTGCACGAAAAGTCTCGAGTTTTTCTTTTCCCTGCATTTGTTTTCCTTTTACCGATTTCAATAAACGTTTCAATTCTTTGCGCATATTTTGTGAGACAGCAGTTGTTTCTTATGTTTTCCTTAGAACTTTTGCGCGCGAAATTAGCGTGTGGCCGGCTTGAATTGATTGATACACTCGTCTTATGCCCAACGTGTCACCGCTGTATTGGTGACGTGTTAGTGTACATCGAGTTTGCTGGTGAATCCTGTAACCTCTGATAGTGATTGGCACCGAATTTCTCCTTACAGCATCACAGGTGAATCAAACAAAGGTCATTAGAATAAAGTAAACGATCAATTAGATCACCAAAGTCGGACATCATTGGCTAAAATCGAACACTAGTGTCTACAGTCGGAGTCCAGTGTCTACAATCGGAACACTACCGTCTAAAAGTGGACACTGTTGTCGAGAATCGGAGATTAGTGTCTAAAATTGGTTACTAATGGTTAAAATCAGACTCTATATTCTAAAATCGGACTCAAGAGTCCAAAATCGGAGAATGGTACCTTAGGATACTAGTGTCACAAATTGGACACTAGTGTCCAAAACTAAACACAACGGTCTAAAATCGGATGCTAGTGTCCAACAT